CCCAGCGCTGTGGGGCCCTGGACCCACAGGCAAACCCCGAGAGCTTAGTGGCAATGCTCCATAAATGCCAGTCCATATCCCATCCCCCCTACCCCCCCACCCCCCAAGACTCTTTATCATCATCCCTTTCATCCAGCCCCTTTGAAATCTCAGACCCCCACAAAAATTCTCCTCTTCAATGTCCTGAGTGCTCCCTGTACGCCCCCATGGGCTTCACACCCCACAGCTGCCACGGCTGGGCTGGGGGCTGCAGGCAACCCGCCCACCCAGGAACAGCGCTGGATTGTCACCTGCCCCAGGGACAGGGACATCCTTGGGGTCCTCAGTTCCTATTAATCTGCAGGTCCTTGGGTCCATCACCCCTGTTGTTGCTAAAGGCATCTCTGGGAGGGCTTGGCTGTGCTGTAGGTCTTGTTGTTTCTCTGCCGGGGTTATGGGGCTGCTTTGGACCCTCCCCAGCTGCCCCAGGGGCTGGCCATGTGCCCCACACTTCCATCATGGCATTGAGCTTTAGCTTCCCCATGTGCACCTGACTAATCACAAGCTGTGACAAACTTCTGTGGATATTATTTGTCACCACCACCCCAAAAAAAAGTCGAAGAGAGGTTGGTGTCCCCACATCCTACCAGCCTCAGGACTCTTCAGTACAGCAACAGCTCCAGCACCTCCCCATCTACCACCAGTTCCCAGTGGCCCCAATTTTCCCACTATGTCACGTGTCCTGCCTCCTGCTAGAGACCAAGCTTCCTCTCTGTGTTTTTCTAACCCTAGGCTGGGGCTTTCTCTGAGTGGCTCTGGAAGGAGATGCTGCTCAGCATGGTCTGCAGCAGGAACTGCCTGAATTTCCTGGCTCTGCTCAGCAGTCATGAGATGCTAATGAGCCTAGGCAGCACCCAGGGGTGCAGGAGGTAATGTCCTGGGTATCTGGGCACTATTCAGGGGGAAGGAGGCAAATCCTAGGCAGGAAAGAACCAGCAGCACAAGGACCTGTCATTTAATGTGCAAGACCAGCAGCAATGTACTTCGGGCACCAAATCTGGAGCAAAGAGTCATTTCCAGTGGAGTCCTCAGCCCTGCAGGGGACAGCCAGCAGAATAAAAAGCGCTGCAGAGAGATACCTTCAGCCAGCTAAGCCTTGGGGAAGATGAGGAAGCCAGAGAAGATGCTATCAGACCCCTCAATCGCCACCAGGGCGTTCTTCTCTGTTGGCTCCAGCCAGACGGACTCGTTCGCTGCCATCTTGAGGACCACACCACCCGTGGTGACCTGGTAGCTGTTGTGCACATAGTCGCAGAAGGTCACCACCTTCTCGCCCCTGCTGCCACCCCGACCCTTTTTCACACTGAGGCACAGGTTGCCCCTGGAGGTGACGTGGTAGGTGAAGTAGTAGATGCCCGGGATGCGGCAGATGAAGCGGCCGTACCGGTTCTCATAGTGACCCTTCTCGTTGGTGATGATGTGGTCGAAGCGGATGGGCTGGTCCCGGCGTGGGTAGGAGCTGATGGTCCTGGCAGCAGAGAAGGCAGACTTGAGGGTGGCCTTGTAGTCACCAGAGTCCCCCTGAGGGCCAGGGGGTCCCATGGGACCTGGTAATCCCTTTGAACCTGGCAGGCCCCTGGGGCCGATCTTCCCAGGGTAGCCCGGCGCTCCTGGGTCTCCCTTCTCCCCTCTGTCTTCTTCATGCTCCACCTGGCCCGGGGGACCTAGAAAGCAGGAGGAGAGTCAGTGTGGTTGCATCCAAGCCCCACAAGCCTGCAGAGGGGGCACTGGGAAGGAAACGGCCGGTACCTGCACCGGGGTGTGGGTCAATGGAGACCCCTGCCAGGTGGGGCAAGTGACACCCATTGCTCTCATGCACCCTCCCTCCCCAGGCTCCTCAGGGTGCTCCGGTCTGTCCAGCCCCTTGTGTCCCCAGACATCACCCCCACCTAAGAACACCCCAGAGGGACTAGTGGAAAATTGATTGCTTTCCCAGGACCATATGACAGCACTGCCTTTTCTGCTCTCAATATTCACAAAATGATATTTTCCCCACCTGCAGCCTCCTCCTTACCTCGCTCGCCCTTTAGGCCATTGTCCCCATCTCTGCCATTGCTGCCAGGCTGTCCTGGTGACCCTGGGATGCCTGGGATGGTGCCATAGGTCTTGCAGAGTGTTGCACTTGCAAGCTGCCCTCCAGCCAGGAAGATCAGCATCGCCCGCATGGTCTGCATCTGCTGGAGCACAGAAGGGTATCAAGGGGCTTGCCTTGGGCAGTGGGAGGGATGGGGAAAGCAGCATCCTGCTGCAGAGGTGAATCCCACTCTCCTGATGACCTTGGAGGGACCAGCCCCTCTGGGCATGGGAGAGATTATCTGTCTCTTCTCACTCTTAAATTACCAGTTTACAAGTGCCCAAAGCTTCAGACGCATGAATATCTGGGGACAGGTTAACCTGTCCTGGAGGTCTGATGTCCAGCCTGGCCATGCTGCTGCCACGGACATGTGCTGCAGGTCCCTACTGCTCTGAGTCCCCACTGCTCCCTCCATCCCATTTTAGGACCACACCTTTAGGGTGAAATCCTTCCCCAGGCCAGAGCAGTTTCATCATCTGCAAGGAGATAGCTCTTGCTTTCCACTAGCATGTTCGAGGGACAGCTTGCAGATGGCAATGACATCTCCAAACCCACCCTCCTGACCCTTGTAGTTTCCTGTTGTGTCCTGCCACACACCTGCTTCATCCCAGGAGCATTTCTGTATCTAACCAGTCTTACTGGGACAGTCATTTGGGCTTCTAGTCCCTGCGGTCACATCTTCCCTCTGCCCTCCCTGCATCCCACAGCTCAGCTCCCTCCCACAGCTCCTGGTGCAGGTGCATGTGTGGTAAGCACTGGGCATCTGGGGGCTGTATCTGGACATCACGTCATCCCAGCCACACTCTCTGGCCTCAGGTGGACTTTCCCAGCACTGAAACTTGTGTCAGCAAGAACAGAGGTTGGTGAGTTGGATCCTTCAGCCACAGCAGCTCTGGTTTTGATGCAGCAGGTAGAAGGACCGATCCACAGGCTCCCAGCCCAGGTCCAGGCAGATGACAAGAGCATCTCAGGGCAGGAGAGCACCCCCAGGGCACCTCTCAGACTGATGCTCAGTCCCTGATCACCGCTCTGGGCCTTTGCCGTCTTCCTTCCCACGTCCCCCTTCCCCCACATGGAGCTGGAGAAGTCAGGGTCCCATCAGTGATCTCCACCACCCCCACCCCAGCAGCCTCCTTTCTCTTCTGCCCCAAGCCACAGCAAAGTGCCAGTGATGCAGGGGGTGGCTGTCACCCTGGTGCTGCTGGGTTCCCCGCATGCTCCTACCTGCAGGGGAGAGCCAGGGCTCAGCCTTGCTGGTGTCTTGCTCTTACCTTGAGCTTCTTGTTGCACAGATGGGGAGATGGAGTAGGACCCACCAGCGTCCTGCTTGGAAATGCAGTGAGGAGAAGCAGAAGTTTGCTGCAAGGGTTATTGTGAAAGGATCTGGGCCAGATCCCTTTTCTATCTTTAGCTCCTACTCTTCCTTCAGTGGCACTTTCATATCCTCCAGAAATGCTGTCTGTCAGCTCAGCAGAACCTGCTGTTCCCAAAAGGCACCTTGGGTCCCCTCAGGCATCCAGCTCTGGCCCCGGGGAGCAGAGGGATGTCTGCTCTGCTCTACAGGGTCCCTGGGTCCTGCTCAGGTATGCTTGCTGCAGGAAATGCTGTCCGAGCTCCAGACAAGTTTGGGGTAGCCCCTCAGGACTGCAGAAATGCGTGTGCACTTGTCAGGCTCCACACACACCCAGCTCTGCTGGGAGGTACCGGCAGGCCCAGAGGATGCTACAGGGTCTCAGCATCCCTCGCCTTGAGTCTGTCCCCCAGGCTCTGCTAAATGTTGTGGATGGGAAGTGATTTCACCCTGCAGTAAGAGCATTTCCAATCCTGCTTTCTGCTGATGCCTTGTGGAGGTGAAGCACCAGACATTCGAGGTGGATAACCTCCTTTTCCACTGCACAGTGTGTGCACCAGGAGGAATCTCCATTGGGTCTGGTGGGCTCTGTAGCCTCCACAGCCACGAGCTCCTTTGGTCTGGCTGAAGGAAGCCAGTGATCCCCCACCCTGTCCCTGGCGAGGCTGGGGCCCTGGGGATGTCCCAGCCACTGGAGGCATGGTGGTGAGGTTTGCTGTGTGGTCTGTGGCCCTCTGCAGCTGAATTGCATCTGCTTGGAGGAGAAGGGGAGTATCAGGGCCCCTGTCTGGAGTGGTCTTGGTCCCTCCTAGGTGGGGGCTGTGTGCATGGACACGGGAACTGTCCCCTTCCTGCAGTCAGTGCAGCTGGGGGTCCTACCACGCCGAGCAGAGACAGGGTTCAGAGCCAGGGTTGTGAATGGTGCGTGATGCTCACCAGTGCTGAGCATGGCCGAGCCAGCGAGGGCTCAGGGACGTTCTGATGCCACACAGACATCCAGATGTCATGCACACAGACACCCACGCATGTGCACACCACATGCATCTGGCCACACGTGGGCTCCTCCTGCAGAAAGGCAAGTTGTGGAAGAAAAAACACGCTACGCCAGGCACACTGGGGAGGGTTTTATTGACACTTTGCACAGCCAGGTTGTGGCAAAGATGCTGCAGCAAGCCTGCTCCAGGACACCTGGCTGTCCATGGGGCAACCCAGGGGGGAAGGGGCAAGATGCAGAGACACCTCTGTCTCTGTCAGCAGAAGGTAGTGTGGGTTATTGGGGTGGATGCATGTGGCAGTGCCAGCAGGACCCCGGGGGCTTGGCATCATCACTCTGGGTGCAGATGCATCCAGACGTGACTGTCCCCTCATGCAGTGGCTGCCTGCGCGTGGTCCCTGGGCCAGGGGTTTGTGTCTGGTGGGTGGAGCTGACCCCCTCGCTGGGGCTTCCCACCCAGCAGAGAAACCTGGAGCATCAGCAACAGCCTGGCAGCGAGCAGCAGCGTTTGGGGGTGGGCGAGGATGGGCTCTGGTGGGCCCCTAGTCTGGGAAGAGCAGGACCCCCGAGAAGATGCTGTCGGAGTTGCCGATGCCCACCATGCCGTTGTAATCATTCACCGCCAGCCAGACCTGGTTCCCAGCAGCCAGGTGGAGGAGGATCCCACCAGAGCTGACCTGCATGGTGTTGGTCTTGTGGTCGCAGAAGCTGGCCATCTTTCTCTCGTTCTTGTACAGGACAACGCAGAGGTTGGCTGTCAGCGAGGTGTGGAAGACGAAGTAGTAGAGGCCGGGGAGCTTGCAGGTGAACTTGCCCGTGGCAGTGTTGTAGTCATGGTTGGTGTTGGTAATGACGTGGTTGAACACCACAGGGACATCCTGCAAGGGGTACTCACTGGTCTGCCTCGTCACTGAAAATGCTGACTGGTGCTCCTGCTTGTAGCTACCTGGCATCCCTGGCTCTCCGGCCATGCCCATAGTCCCAGGGTCTCCAGGAGGACCAGGGGGACCAGTGAGGCCAGCCTTGCCTGGCCAGCCAGGGCTGCCGGGGTCCCCTTTCATGCCCTTGGACCCTTGTGTTTCAGGAGTGGCCGGGATGCCTGTGGGGCAGTGGGGAGTGAAAGGGAGTCAGCATCAATGGCAGGATGTGGGGAGAGGCTCCTCCAGCCCCTTCCCTTGGGCAGGAGAGGGCTGTTGCCTCTCCCCAGCCTCCTCTCCTCCTGCCCTATCCACAGAGGATGCTCTCCGTGGCCTGCAAACCCAGGCAAACCAGCCACAGAGGACTCAGTGGACCCAGTTCCACAGCCGGCGTGGTTCCCCTCCTTGCTCACTCACCTGGCTCGCCTTTGGCTCCCTTCAGCCCATCCCGGCCATCCTTGCCTGGCACACCCGGCATGCCTGGCAGGCCTGGAACCCCATAGCAGCTGTGAGGGGCATCTCCAGTCACAGTAGACCCCAGATTCAGGAGTAGGAGGGTGAGGGTGAAATGGAGCTGCTCCCAGAAGCTCTGCCCCATTTTGGTGCTCTGGAGCATGGAAAGGGAAAGAAAGTGCTGGGGTGAGGGGCCACGGCGGGGTGGCTTCCAGGCCATGGGGCAGAGGAGGTGCTGTGCTATGAGGCTGACTGTACCAGGAGCAGCTGGCTGTGATGGCTGTGTCCCCAGTGTCCCCCCCCCATACCAATTGCCAGGTGGTGGGGAGGTGGATACATGGAGATGGACCCTGGGCTCATCACCACCCCCAGCGCAGCCCCTGATGGCACAAAGGGAGTTGGACTTTCCATCTGGATGGAGCCATGAGGTCTTGCAGTACCCATGGCCAGCCCCAGGCTCTCCTGGTCCAGTGTCCTGAACCCCCTGCAGACGCACATGCCGCTGCAGACCGTTGCACCGTGCTGCACTGAGGCTGGAGACACCTGGACCCCGCTGATCTCACCCTTCCTCCAGCAGCAGCCTGACTTTCCTGGCTCTGCCTGTCAGGATCAAGCCCTGCATCAGCTGGGGATCTCCCAGGACAGTGCCTGTCCTAGGGGACTGGGTCTTCCTCCAGCGAGGACAAGCTGACATGCGTGCAGCCTGGCAGTGCTTCTATCCCCTTCTCCTCCTCTCACATAGCCCAGCACTGTGCCATGCTGCTGGAGCCCCAGTCCCCATGCAGCCCACCCCAAAGAGATGGACCCTGCAGCACCTCTTACCTCTGATCTGGGGAGCAGGGCACGGGATCCTGCACTGCTGAGCCCTCTGGCTGCTGGTGGCACTGCCTGCTGGCACAGCACAGCATGGGTGATTTCGTGACACACTCCCAGAGGAAGTCACAGAATTAAGAAAGGGCCCTTGGGGATCCAGAACCCCCAGCTGGTACCCAGCTGAGTTTCACATCCTCCTGACTGATTGTTTCCTCTGAGCAAGCACTTTCCTGGCTGTTCGGCAAGACCTGTACTTGTGCCACTGGAGCAGCAGGGGCTGGAAGGATGGAGGTGGGATGACCCTCTGACACAAAGATGTGCCACAAACGCTCCAGCCACTGTGGGGACAAGCCCTCTGCAAATCGCCTGCCTTTCACCCATCCTTAACTTGTTTCTGAGCAGAAGGGCAGTGAGCAGATGGGGAGCAAAGCCTCATGCCAGTGCCATGGAACCAGAGGTGCCTGTGCAATGGTGGCCTGGGGCAAGGTCATCTCCTGGCTCTGAAGGGAGATGCTGCACCGCTGAGCAATGGGACTGAAGGATGTTTCTCCTTGAGGATTTCTTACCTGCAGGATGGCTGTCCTCTCTGCACCCTGCCCTGTGCTCCACCAGCTCTGCTGGGTGCTGAATGCACTGGGACCCCATCATCCCTGGTTGGGGTGTTGCTCCTTGCAGGTGACCTGGCCTCCTCCTGACTGCTCCAGGAATGAAGACATTTGACTGCCTGCTGTGTGTGGAGCAGCTCCTCTGAGCAGCAGTCCCAGCGTATGGGACCTGCGTGGCTTCCCTGGTGCTTTCTGGCTGCCTGATGCCTGCCTATCCTACCTTACATCCCCCTCATCTCACCCCAAGCCAAAGAGAGAAGAGCATCGCCCCACAACCACACCACCATCACCCCACAGCCCCATCAGTCACCCTGGTGTCCTTGTCCTTCCTTGCAAAAAGGCTGGAGGACCACAGCTGCCTTTCCCCTACCTGTCAGAGTTTGGGTACCAAGAGAGGACCGTGTGGGTGAGGTGCATGATCTGCTAGCTTGGACTCATCAGGAAGAAGACACACATAGGCTAGTCCCAGAGATTGCCTGTTCCTGTAAGTGCTGCCTCTGCTCGCGTCTACACTCAGTTCCCTCCCATCCTTCTGCCTTTGCACTTGGGATCTGTGCTTGGCCAGGGGCAAGCTGGGATCACTTCTCTCCCTGGGCAGCTTGGGAAGGGGCCCAGGATATTGATGGTTTTGGGAAGACATATAAAAAGGAAAGAAAACCCAAGGAGCAGTTGTAGAAGGGTTTATTTATACTGATGGGGAGGATGTGAGAGGCAGTGGTGGCCCGGTGCCAGAAGGGTGGTTGCAATGGTTAGTGTAGCAGAAGCAGTGGCACGCAATAATTTCCTGCTCAGGAGCGAAGAGCCTCAGCTAGTGAATAGCATCAGTGTCAACTGGTTCCCTCTGGTGTGGGGTCTGAGCTCCCAGAAGCAAAAAGGGCTGCTGGGGCCAGGAGTCCTCTACCTCCAGGATGGAGCAGGCAGGCTCAGCACAGAGGTAACTGCTAGCAGGGGGTCTCGTTGCTGCAGGTGTGACCCTCAGCCTGGCCACTTCATGACACTGGTGGAAGCACAGGACCTGTCTGGTGGCTCAATTTGGGGCTGTCTTGGTTTGCTGTGATACTAAACCATCCCACGCACTCACAGGTGGAAAATACATGTAGACACACACACCACAGTGCGCTGGTGCTAAGCGGGTCTGGACTGGCTGTCCATCAGCCCCTCTGTGGGAAGAGCATGAAGCCGCTGAAGACACTGTCTGCCTCGGAGCCGCTGTAAATCGCGCTGCCCTTGGCAGGGTCGGTGCTCACTGAGACCTGATCGCCCATGGCCAGGCTGAGCACGCTGCTGCCCGAGTTCACCTGCAGGTTATCACGGCTGTTGTGGTCGCAGAAGGTGACCACGTGCTCCCCGTTCTTGGTGATGCTCAGGCAAAGGTTGCCGCTGGAGACCACCTGGTAGGCGAAGTAGTAGAGCCCGGGGATGCGGCAGGTGAACTCCCCGGTCTGGGGGCTGTAGGAGCTCTCCTCGTTGGTGATGATGTTGTCAAACACCACTGTCCTGCCCCTCATCAGTGAGGACACCCGCGAGGCAGAGAAGGCAGGACGCGGCTGCTCCAGGATATTTGTGGCTTGCCCCTTGTCTCCTTTTGGCCCTGGCTGGCCTGGGAGCCCCGGGATGCCGCTCAAGCCATGGTGGCCCCGGTTCCCTGGGATGCCAGGAGGCCCTGGCTCGCCTGTGTCTCCTTTGAGTCCCTTGATGCCTGTCCTGTATGCTGGTTTCCCTGGGGAGAGGTGGTGAGGAGCAGTTCACGCACATCTGGCATCTCCCAAGCTCCACAGCCCATGGTGCTCCTACCAAGTGGCTTGAGGCTCCCAGGCCCACACATACCCAGGTCCCCCTTACCTGGCTCTCCCATGTCACCCTTCTGCCCTGGTCTCCCATCGAGGCCAGGGATTCCCGGGAAGCCATCCTTGCCATCTGGTGCCCGACATACGCCGTCCTCGGGCAGGACCATGCCCAGCACTGCTGCCAGGGTGCTGGTCGCCAGCCAAAGCCTGGTTTGCATCCTGCAAGCAGAGGGGTGGGGGAATTGGGGATGGAGACAGGCACACAGCAAACACACAGATACACCTTGGACACAGGCACACGAGCACGTCTCGCCCAGACAGGTGGACATGTGCAATGCAGAGACAACTGTGTGCTCAGACACACACGCATGCACAGATCTATGATGCCACCCATGTGTGGTCCAATGCAGGTAGCAAGACACCACATGCAACAGTGAAAATAACTTAATGGAAGGATATTGAGACTGATCTGAAATCATCAATGTTACTGAAAATCTCTGACATGTGCCCATGGGAGGGCTGTGGGATTGGAGAGCCCAGGATGTGGAGCCCGTTGTAAACCCTCTGGTGCATGTCCTGGGGATGGGTGGTCACGCATCAGATGCATGCAGAGGATGCATCTTCCAGTGTTGGGGGAGCAAGCGCTGATGTATGGGGCACTGGTCCCATGGGATGGAGAGCACAAGTGAGGAAGGGGTGCAAAGAGACACAACAGAGGAGGGATGAACAAGAAAGGGATAAACAGGCAAGAGGGATCCAGATCTCCAACACACAAGGCTGGGAGAGAGGAGGGAGGTCCTGACCACACAGACCTACATCAAAACCTGCAGTTCTCAGCCCAGGAAAAGGCTGCAGAGCCCAATGATGTCCCCAGCCACATGGAGCAAGGACAGATTCATGAAGCACTCCCCCCCACCATCATCTTGTCCCCCTTTTCCTACTTTAAATCCTTGTGGAGGGGGAAAGTGAAGAAAGGAGGGGGACAGGGAGCAAGGACTCGAGAGCAGTGGCAGAGGAGGCCTGTGTCCCCAGTTATTTGGGGTGACTTACCTCCTTGCTGGGGGTGAAGACAGACCGGTCCGAGCAGCAGCTCTGTTTGCTGGAAACTTCCTTGGGAGCAGGGAGGAAGAGGAGCAGGGTGGGGGGGATGTACTTGCATGCATGCTGGTTTGCCTGGTTGGGGAAGAGAAGTGCCAAGTTTCACTTTCTCCATGTGAGAGAGAATCTTGTTCCCCTTTCTGTGCTTGACCCTTGCTGTGCCAGTCACAGCCAGGGAACAGCTTGGTCAGAGAACGTGCAGGACCACAGCGTTCCCTGCCTGGCCCAGCAGCACAGTCCCCACAGCAGGGACTGGTGGTGACTGGGCACAGAGCATCACAAAGTCGGAGGGTGCCCGAAGCATGCCACTGCTCTGTTGCTGCAGAAGGGGACAGGTGATGTGAGCGCCAGGTGGCATGGCCACTCGAACGATGCTCAGTAGGTCTCCCGGACTGGGCGATGGGCAGAGCGTGGCTGTCACTAGTACCCAGCCTTGTCACCGCTGCTGGGGGCTGACCCCTCCAGATGCCCACCTTGGCACCGCACCGACGGCACAGGGCTCCAGCAGAGGGTCCGTTAGTGT